AACCTTTACTTACAAAACAAGGCTGTATTTCTGGTTGGAGCAGCCACAAAACCCTCCCAGCTATGCCTTGACTAAGTACAAAAGGCTCAGAACTACTTCATTTTCATGCATTAGGTGACTGGAAGCAGCATTCAACTGGCACCTCCTGCCTCTATCTGCTCTGCACACCAATGCAAGTAGGTATGCAGAAGAGCGCTACACGACTAAAGCAAACCCAGCTCCACGCAAACCTCAGCCCTCACCTGACCAGGTCTCCATGAAGCTGCACGAAGAGGTTTTTCCTCTCTTCCCCATCACAGATCTCAGACGCTGGGGTATCCACCGTACAGAGGACCAAGCGCAGGTCAGACAAAGCAGCAGCAGAATCTCCTCCATAAACGTACACGCAGCCTCGTCCAACATCCTCTCTCAGCCAGTCCCTCTCACGGGAACCGAACCGGCTCCTGTTCGGACAGCTCCTGCTTCCGTTGCGCTTCGCGTTTCTCTGCAAAACGGCCAAAACCGGAGCGTCAGCGGCAGTCTCGGCAGCGGCGCCCGCAGTCGGGCTGTGCGAAGGCCCCAGGAGCGGCGGGGCACGGGGGAGCGGAGCGGGGTACGGCGAGACCGCCGCTCCGCGCCACCGGGCGCCTCCTCGGGGCCATTCGCGACGAACGACTCGGAGCCACCGCGCCCGGGGGGGCACGGAGCCGGCACGGAAGGGTCCCAGCCAAGGTCGAAGCGGGCACTGCCCAGACGCGGCGCGCAGCTACTGCCGCGGCCGCCCCCCGCGCCGAGCTGCCGGGAAGGGCCGGCGCGGAGACGCGGCGCAGAACGGCCCCGCTCGGCCCAGGCGCCCTCCTCACCTTCAGCACCCGGACGACGCCGCGAGGCCCGGCCCGCCCGCCCCGCGCTCCGACCGCCGCCGCCTCATCCTCCTCGGCTTCCGGCGCCTCCTTGGGCCCCGGACCGGCTTCCCCCATGGCCGACCGGACCGCGAAACCTCCGGCAGCGGCGGCTGCCGCCCCAGCTCCGCGCGCGCCCCGCCCCGGAAGCGCGGGAACTTCCGTCGGCAGCGGCGCCGCAGCGGCAGCGCGAAGTCGCGGCGTTAAACCAAGGAGCTCGGCGAGCGGTTCGGCGAGTCGGTCCTGACGGCAGCACGGCCTGCGGGCACGAGGCCGCCGGAGCCTTTACCGACCTGCTGTCATCCGTGCAGCGCTTACGAGGAAGGCGGCTGTGTAAACTGGGATCACTTACCCTTCGAAGAAGGAAAACAGCTCTGTACTCCGAAGCCGCCCGTCCCAGAACTGCTTTCTCTTGCTTCTGCAGCGTCTCACCAGGAGCCTCCCGAGGCTGCAGCTGCACACGGCGGCTCTGAGCAGCGCTTCGTCCCGCTGGGCGTAGCGCCACCGCGCCGCTTCGCGAGCGCCTGAGACAGCAACCGTCAACGGCAGCCTCGGTCACCTTAATGACCAAAGCCTCGCGCCTGCCCTCAGCCAGCAACGATTCTGGACTTCACACACACCGGCCTGCTGCCCCAGCACAGTTCTCACGCGCTAATTCCTGGCCTTGCTGCTTCCAAACTCTCACCGCCAGCATTCTTTCGTAGCTTAATCCGATTTCACGTTACCTTCAGAAATCTCCCACCTTCCTCCTGGTTTATCTCAGACAGCAGCGCTCTCCGCAGTCAGGACCCGTTCCAAGAAGGGACAAGGGGCTCAGCACCGCCCAGCACAGCAACGGGAGGTGCCTCCGTGCTCTGTCCTGCTCCACGACTTCTGCCTGCAGCCACACACCATCCGCTGACACACAGACAGACACGTTTCTGAATTGCCAAGGAGAGGACCTGGAGAGCTCTAGCTAATGAGGAGCTGACTGACAATCAGGCTTACTGTGAAGGTTCCGTGTGTTCCCAGCACGCACCTTCACTGTGCATGGAATTGTATTGGAAAACACACAGTATCTAAAGTTCCTGTGACTATCTTACAGCAGGCAACTATATTGCTTTAACGGTTGAGATCGTAACAGTCCTTGTCTCAGTGGCACACGGCATACAAAAGAGACTTCTGGAGATCAGCAAGGGAACCTTAACCAACTGCACCTGCAGCCAGCAGGGAAAAACATCTGTTCAGATCTCATCCTATCTGTGAGCACCTGGACATGTACTGCTGGCAGCAGCTGACAAGCTGTCCCTCAGGGTGGTGTTTGACCTGACCTTTTTTAGGGTTTTTAAACTGCCTGCTCATTTTACTCTCCAAAATTTCCCAAAAGCTTTTCAAACTCTGCCCTTGATAATTTCATATCACTTGCCTTTAGCGCTGCCAAACAAGAACTGATAAAGGCTGTTCCACTCTACTTGCAAAAAGCAACAAGGCGCAGTTTTAAATCATGGAATATTGACTCATTTTATTAGTCACTTCATAATTTGTTTCAACCAAAAGACAGTACACACAGAAGTCTAATGCATTCCATGTAAGTGTTTACATCGGTTATGTAGCTCCTCACTCACCTAAGACTTAGCATTTAAGTTTTTCACATCTCAAAAATAGATTTGCAGAAGTTAGAATGCCACCAGGCTCCCTGCTCAATGGGCATGTTTTTATGTTTAATTTGGTCAGGAGTTGCTGCTCATTTGATCTTGTGGGTTTTTTTGTTTCTTTTTTTTCTGTTCACATTGTCAAGGAGGTGGGATGGTACTCTACGTAAGGGCAGTATTACAACGTAGGAAAAGGAACAAACAGGATCAGAGTAAAAGTCCAGAAGAAAGAAGCGCAGTAGGTCCTTCCACTACAGTCCCCAAACAGAAAACAAACATAGAAAGTACACCACCAGACCCACCCCCCAACCCCCACCCTAGAGGAAAGCCATCTTTGCTGTCCCATCTTGCAGCCAGTATCAGTGCTGGTGGAAGGATGAAGGAAGTCACCTTTCCCAGCTGCTTCAGAGCCTATCCAACATACTGTATGGGTGGCAGTTCCCTCACTGCTATTGCTTCAAAATGCTGCTCAAGGCCACCCATCAAAAAAAGTGGACTAAATTAAACCTTAGGATCTTCCCATGCCTCCTCTCCCTTCTGGATCACTACAGCCCACTTTGTCCTTTCCTCAAAATTTATTTGCTTGGAAAATAAACAAACCAAAGGAGACAATTTCTCCAAGCTCCAGCCTGCAGAGCCCACATTATGAAGGTCAGCCACAAATTCTCCATCTTGCTCCTCTTATATCCTCTTTACACTAAAAGAAGAAAGCCATTGACCAGACCTAAATTGTTGCATTCCAGTGGAATAAAGGCTCACCTTGTCCCCAGAGTGCTTTCTGAGGCATTAAGTAAGTATTCTCCAGCATGACAAAGCAGCAGCATGAAGGTTGAAAGTACCTAGGGAAAGAAGTAATAGTATCTAGCATCGCAAATAAGGAAACATGTAACCTGGCCTTCTTTCTAGAGATAATGTTAGTACTCAATCTTTTAAGAAAGGAAGGTAGAGAGCTCCAAGGACAACAGGAACATTCAGCTGCAAAGTACTTTATGGCCAAGAGACGGTTTCAAGCTGAATGCCTTTCAGGTACACACACCATCTCCCTGAGCTTGACCCAGAAATACGACAGAGTATACTTTCCAAAACACAAAACACATATGTGTACAGGTGGCTGAAGGATCCAAGCGTAGAGAAGGAATCTACCCTGAAAGCTTTCCAGAGACCAACAACAAAATCCACCTGCTCTATAGTACAAAAAACAAATGTAAGAGGGACAAGGTCAGTTGTTTCCAGCCACACTGCAATGAACTGGCCAGGTGAGGGACCATGTACTTCTTTCTCCCCATCTAATCCTCTGGCAACAGTGCTCTTCTCAGCAAAAAGGAATGGAAAGCTGGAGGTGCACCACCTTTCAATACCACACACAATTCTGAGAAGAATGACACCTTAAGGGTTTTAAGGAACTAAGGCAAAAAACTTCCTGTTAGCTTGATACCTGGGACACCCTCAGAGCCCACTGGGGACTACATTCAAACACACTCACCACTATGGAGTTTGAGCCAGTTGTGTCAAGCAGTCACAGCTGCAGTAAAAAGCAACAAAAGTAAATGCTCAGCATCCAGAAAAGGGCTTTGATTCAGCTGTTTTCTCCAAGACTGCCTGTATCATTATGGTTCCATCTGAGGCACTGCTAGCCCAACCAAGACACTGCAATAAGTCAGAATCAGCTTCAAACAAGTCACACATCACTCTTGCTCGTTTTTAATAACTCTATAATGATGCCAGTTCCAACAGAATAATGAAACTCTTTGGTGAAGGCTCAACCCGGTCCTCTCAATAACGTAGCAAAAAAGCCTTCCAAGAGAAACTAAACTTATTCCACTGGACATATCAAAAATTAAAGTCAGTTCTACTTTATATCATCTACCATGGTTAAAACCAAAGCAGACAGAACAACCTCTAGTGACCTCCCTTGCTATGGATTCAAGGGTAGAATAAGTCTTTGATTTTCCCTAAATACACTGTACACCATGCCTGCAATATTGCCAGCAATGATTGGAACTTAGTGTTTGTACTTTTGCAGACACAAAGGGCTGACAGAGCACAAAATGATCACCATGTATTTACAGTCCTGCAACAGAAACAGAGCAGATGTGCCATTTGTTTCTTTTGAGAAAGCTTTGCAGCTGGGAGCTGGGGTACCTTCAATTCACCAGCACGCTAACGAATGAAGACTTAAGGCCTATCTTTTCCTCTTTCTCTCTGAATGGTGCTGAACACCTGAACAGTTTTGTCACTGTGCTTTATACATCCTATACATCACCTCCATGAAAATTCATGGAACTCTACTACCTCAACAACAGTTGACACTGGCAAGCATAACTGGATACAACTTTAAGCTCAGAAGAGTACCAAACCTAACATCTTTGGATTCAAATACTCCAATAATTGGCTTTCGTTCAAAAAACAGTTTAGTTCCACTCTCAGTCTGCACCTTAACAAACAGATTTTTCTACAAGGATGAATTAAGTAACAAAATGGGAGAAGGTCTCTTTAAACCGCATGGTCTTTATTTCAGTGCCAATGTTACAGATACAACACAAATATCCCAGTCAGAAGTAAATCAAATGGAACCCAGGGAGTCTACAACAGGCTCTGGAAATTAAACCGGGGAGAAAGTCTGGAATAACTAAGAACAACTCTGCAGCATAGTCTCCGGTGCGTCTCCCAGCAGGCAACAGAGCTTTTGCTCAAAGACTGATCTACAAAATTGAATGTGTCTTTTCTTGCCATAAACCACAACTAAAGGCTTTGAAATCAACTGTGGTAGAAAACCAGCTGCTTCTTAGATCGCTACATCTCATACATCACCATACCTTCCGGGGAAGCTACAGAAGACTGAATCTCTATGGCTGCAGCCACTGATGGAAAGAAAGAAAATTCAAGTGTAAGGTCTTCATTTCCAAGTACAGCACCAACGCAATTTTAATCAGCCTCACCGGCACCTCTTTCCTGCACTGTCCCAGGTCTGCAGATGAAGTCCCAAGGCCTGACTTGCTCTTGGTAAGTATCACATAACTAAGAGGTGTGTGTATACAGTAATGCACTGAACAGGCCAAAAAAAGCCTCCAGTCCCTTTAGACATGGGGGATACAGTAAGAAAGAGGCAAGGTGACCTAAAATTCTCCAAGTTCCCATTCTGAGCCCCAGATGAAAGTGCCTGAAAATAATCCAGCTAGTAACAATTGAAAACACAACTTGACCATCCCAGGGGAAAAAAAAAAAAAAAGACAGCAGAAAGAAGGGGCAGTTGTTCACTTGCTGCAGAGACAGAAAGTTTCCCTGCAAGAAATTCCAGACTTCTCTTCCAACACCAGGCTGTTTTTTCTTTGGGGGTAGAGAGGCAGGGAAGGGAGGGAATGTTGCTTCTGGCTGTGAATGCATGTGTGAGGGAGTGCAGAGTAGCCTCCACAAGCCACCAGCCTCATCAGCAGAGGAGAGGAGATTAGTCTCAACAGATATGCTTCAAAGTCAGCAATCACTTCAGGAAAATTCCTCCTCATCAGCAGGTCTCATCTGTTCCCCATGCCCATGGTGCAGTTTAGGGGACTGCCAAGGATCACAACCTTCTTCCCAGAGTTCTTTTGATTGGGTGGGGTGAGAATAAGAATGGTGCCAGAGCCTCACTGCCAAGACTGAGGGGGGAAGTTGTTGACTTCTGCTAGATCCTGCATTGCTGAGCCCTTGTGATTATATGTCAACTTGATCCGCATACGTAGTTGTTGCTACAAGAGAAAAGGAAACAAACACAAATTCAGGTCTTCAACAAAGGTCAGCATATTTTCCAGCTTCCTGTCCCACATCCCCTGAGAAAACACAACACAGACCCTTCCTCACCACAAAAGCTTGCAGGAATTATGTGCAGAGTAAGCTATGACAACGCAGATAAATGCTTAATCTAGTAGGATGCTGCTTGCCCACTGTACTTCTCAGGTCAAGTAAAAATTTTCTCAGAAAAACTATAGCACAGATTCTATTCATCTTTCCCTGGGCACTGGCCCTGCTCTCATCCACATCGAGGTCCTTAGATATAACAGTAACGGTCTTGCAATCACAATTAACCATGGAAGAAAGCAGGAGGCAGATCTGACTTTGCTACGCAGCACTTATGCTTACATGGAGAAAGGTATTATTTCCTGTGCTGCTGACTCAGAGAAGCAGCAGTCTGGAAACTTGCACAGATCAGTAGCACTGGACAAAATAGCCCAAGAAAGACTACAGATATCATCTCTAACAGTACTTCCTCCTTCTGTGGCTAAATGGCAGAACAGCTCAGACTGCCTTACACTGTTGCTTGGCTGCCATCCAGACACTAGGATGATCTTAATAATAGCCAGAGCACAGCATGCTTCACATTTTCTGTTCTCTTCACTGCTGCCCCCCTTCCCCCTTCCAAAGTCTACAGCAAAATGTGCAGAAAGGGTAATGAAAGGGAGGAAAGGAGGACACAGACAGCTCCAACCAGCCTCTCGCTAAAGAAGTTGTATTTGGTACTGTTCTGGGTAACCAGCCATTGTACAGAGTGCACTGGCCACTGTCAGAGTATAACCTTGTTCACCTATTCTGAAGAGTTACACTCTAAGATCTTTCAGTCTGCTCACCATAACTCTCCCCATTTAGTTTCAGTCCAGCCTGACAGACCACAACCACATCAACAGTTTTTACAACACCGAAAAAACACAGAGCTACCTCCTAAACAATAAAGTTGAGGTTGTTTCTTCCAGAATATTTGAGGTAACTTCAACTATCTCATGCATGGGACCCTCGCAAAGCTGAATCTGAGGTCAACAGCAATCTAAAGGACACTAAGCACTGAACACATGAAGAGGCATAAAACAGTGGGAAACAGCAGAGGGCAGCAAAATACTAGCTTGCAGCTCTTTATTCTCAAGGATTCACGGGAGATGGAAGTCCCAACAAGGATGCACATTTCAGCTTATGAGACCCATATGAGAAGGATACATTCCAACTTCCTGCACTCCACAGGAAAGCTTCTAAATCCCTTATGTTTATAACTTTTAGAACCCACATGGAAATTTATATCAGATTTGTGTGAGACAGAATAATTACCCGCATGTCTTATAGAGCCTGAGAGGAGTACATTGTATAGAGACAAGGGGAGATCAGGGCAACTGTGCACAGGAAGACAGTTATTTTGATGAAATCTTTGGCTAAGACTTAAGAATTTCATTTTTTAAACTTGCACACCAGTCTACTTAATGTCTAGAACAGTGAGTGATAAAGAAATAAACACGTCAGAAAAATGTCAATACCGCCCCAAAAATTGATAAAATTATTTGCACTTTTCTATCTGATTCCACCTCACTGTTAAACCTCTTAAGGAGGACATGTGGGCCATATCCCTCTCTCCTCTCAAGTTTATTTTTATCCTCAGTCTCAGAAACTTACCTATGAAAGCTATAGAACAAACAGAATTATGATAAATAACAGCAAAATACTCTTCCCCTCAACTATTTGAAAATACACTCACAACATATTAAACAACATCACTTAAGAAAAAGGACAATCTGGTTAAGATTATGGATTAAGCTATTTTTTTTTTAATCAACTTTCAAGAAATGCCCCCTGCAGACAGCAAGAAGGAACTTCAAATATATTGAAATCCAAAAAGCAAGCATCTTTCCATTTCACTCCTACACCAAAAAACACCAGGTTCTGCTCCTCTAGAAAGATCTAGAAACTTGTTTAACAACTATACTGATGCAACAAATATCCACAAAGTCAAGGCTTTTTTAGAGTCTGCTTAGGAAGTATAAACAAACAGAAAGCCAAATCTTTGCCCAGAACCTCCTGTCTTTTACAAATTTTTCTTCAGAATATTTTCTTAGCCCTAAACAAAAACATTCTCACTACAACACATAATTTCCCAATGCACAACTTCCAGGCAGTTCTCAGGATCACTCACCTTTTGTGGATTCAGGACTTTAATGACCTGTGTAATGGTCCCCGAGTTAAATGCAGGGATGACACTGCTGCTAGGAGACAGAAGCTGCAGTTGGAATGTCTGAAGAACAAAACGAAAGCAAGTTGGTGCTTAATCAAGTACAAATATAAACTAATTGATTTGTTTGCACTAAAAAAAATTAAGTCCTGCCAGTACAGAGACACAAGGAAGCAACCAGTTTTTCAATTCATGACCTGCAAAGAACAAAATATTTGCTGGCCCACCATCTTTCCACACAGAGATCCAGAAGGCACAAGTATGAGAGATGAGGGCTTACTGCGGTCTATCAAAATTAGCAGTGATGCACTGTTTCAATTTTGACTCTCAGGTGGAACAGCCAACACTGCTCAGCACATCTCTAACTTCAGGAGGCCCATTCTCTCCCTCATTCCTTCCTGTGGCAGGTAGGAAAATTCCAAACTAAAGGAAGAGCATTAGTAAATTCCAGAAGTGAAACTCTGGAAAGTGAATATTTCCCAAATTTCAACGCTTCAATCAAGTCCTGCTCTACTACAAACTAGTAGTCCCCATCTTCATGTTTCAAGCTGCAGCTAACTCCAACAGGAGACAACTAAATGCTTTAAGGAGAACAGTTAATGATCACTGTGTGGGAGCTCACTTCAAGTTTTACAAGCAGCTAATAGCTCCAAAGGGTTTTCTTTTTTCCATGTATTTATAGCTACAAAGAGTACAGTACATTTCCTAGAAACTAAGAACAAAGAGAAAGGTTTGTTGTGGTTGTTGGTGTGGTGGTGGGTTTTTTTTGAACCAACATTTTCCTGGGCATAGTTTAGCAACCTTCTAAAATGGTGATTTTAAAATAAGATTTGATCAGAGCAGATCATTTTAGCCCATCCTCCATTCCATTTATGACTAAACTGAGCATGATGAGAACCTTTTAACAGCTCACCCATGCTGCATGTGTCTGTCTACATTAAAGCACCAATCAGGAAGTACTTGCAGCTGGCCCTCTACCTGTCACTGTAGTTGCCCTAAGTTGTTCTACCTTTGGTACTGCAGCTTGGAAAACAAAATCTGTCATGTCCAGCTCTGTGCTGTTGGAGGCTTGTATTGTGATTACAGTGACACTGGGGTTGGTGTTTGACCTCTCAAAACTGAAGTCAATCTTCAGCCCGTTCTTGTTGTATGCAGTAATTGAAGGGATTCCTGTAGAAAGCAAAAAAGTAGCAGACTTGAGAATCTAGACATCGTTCTCAGCATCACAGAACTCATTTCCTTTACCCCAGAACACAAATTCTTCTGTAGATTAAACAACCTCCCCTCCTGCTCCAATGTGTGTGTCACACTTCACAATGAAATCTCCTTTCCGTTACTACCCCTTGTTTCCTCTTCTGCTGTGGCACCTTCAGCTAAGGTTTCAGATGTCCCTAACCTGCAGCAATATCATTGAAGAGAGGCTGTGATGACAGTCCATCAAGCAGGAATGGAGGCTGTGATATCTGGGGTGCAGGGGCAGATACTGGGGAACCTACAAGAAATGTTGGATAATTATTAGATTTTGCTGTCACAGAATGAAGGGTAATTACTCCTCCAACTCAACTGCTCAAATATCAATACATACTATTTCTATATATGAAGCTCTACACATAGCTATTTATGTTATGCCTCTTCTCAGCTTTTATTCAACAAGGTCTGGCTCCTCTTGAGCTAGCAGGCATTCAAACACAGTAATTTCTTGTATCTTATTCTCTCCGGAAATGCTGTGTTCCCAGAAGGGAATGGGAAAATACTTAAGTCCCACTGTCTAAACATTGTCAATCTCTGATGCCATCCCCTGATGTCCACCTGTGTGCTAATACAGAGCCTGACAAGAACAGTCACGAAGACAGGGACTTAATAGTGATGAACAAGCCAGCCCTCTCATCTTCAGCGCTCAACCTGACCCACCCCAGGAATGAGGTTACATAGACTTTCAAGAGATGAAGCCTACTCACCTGTTAGGTTGAGGTCTCCCAGTAGGTCAAGGAGCTCCCCACCAGCAGAGGCTGGCTTGCTTGTAGGTGCAGTGGGGATTACAGGTGTTATATCATTCCCCCCCAGCAAGTCCAACAAATCATTTGCCTAATGAGAAAATAAAAGTTACATATTCATATTTCTGCTGATTCCCCCTTATATACAGGATGAATTTCACTTGCTCTCAGATTAAAGGCCAGAGCTGCTGACTAATTAGAAAGGTTCTTAGTTTGGCTATGGTTCCAAGAGATCAAGCCACCGCTTTCTTGGAACCACAGGGATGGAGCCTGAAGATACAAACAGGCTGGGGAACACATGGATTTATCCCATCATGCTCTTACATTCCCTACAATAACCTCTTCCACACATCTGTTCTTGGCACTAGAACCATCAGAGCAGAAATGTGACACAATTGATCACCAGGCCACAGCTTACAACGAGGCAGGGACAGGAAGGGAGGCTGCCTCAGTTTACTGTTGAAAAGTCAGTGGCTAGCACTCTGAGCTGACAGGCAATGGAAACTTACGCTAGATTAGTTTCCATTACCTGGCTACCAGGCTGCAATCCAGAGTGTGGAGGTTTGGTTTCCAGTACCGCTGTTTCTGTCTCTCCATTGGTCTGTACAATCTCTGTAGGGCCATTGGTGGTGACTTTCTCCATTACAGGCATTCTCTCAAGCAGGGCTGGCCTGAAAGAAGCTGACATAGTTATACTGTGCCATCTTCTTGGATCCCAATCCAAGCATTCAAAACATTCAAGAGAAGATATACACAGCGCAACCCGCCTCTTCCTTTCAGCTCCATTGCAGGGGCACTGTAAGACTATATGACAGCTACAGGTGGTCAAAAATGATCCCTGACATATTTTGCCAGTGTACATATATTAAATGTCAGCTGACAGTCAAACAATACATCCTTATTTTCTTCTAGTACTGGACAGTTTTCACAGTGGAGCTAGGATAACAAAGCAGATTAAATGACTGAGCAAACGTGGATTAACTGCAGACGCAGGACATCTGACTGCTCTGCTCCATATTCAGTTGGATCAGAAGGTCAGCTGATTGGCTGAAACAGGTAACAAAGTTGGAAAAACAAACCACCATGCTCTCATAAGTCAAATTTAAGTTTCCAGAAAGTGTAAGCTTGGTCCTCAAGAGCACCCTCCTGAAAGCATACAGAAACTGAAGGAGAAGAGGCACAGGACACCGAATCCTGACTTCAACACAACAAAGAAAAAGTGATACAGAGAACACCAGCGTATAATGCAAGAAAAGCCATTACCCTCAAGGACCAGGCCTCAAAGCACTGCATGTAATGTGAATAAGTTACACTGCCAACATCTTTCAGGCTCAATGAGATCTGCAGTGCCAATAACCCCAACAACGGGCTTTCAGACTCTGTGATAGAATTACCTCAAGTTCAGAGCATAGCTTTGGAAAAAAAAGGTCAGTGGATCTCTGCACATTTATTCCAAAAGTGTTATAAGATCAGCTTGAACCTAACAACTGGTAAGGTTAGCATGGCAAAAGCTACCTGCAGGCACTTGCTCAGCTAGCACATTTAAGATTCAACACCTAAATCACAGAATTGCTCACGTTGGGAAAGATCATCAAGTCCTACCACAAAGTGAAACAGCCAACTTCAAGCCCAAAATGGGAAAAGCATTTTGTAAGGGCAAGCCTGTGATCTCGGAACACTTATCACAGGATATACTAAGTTCTTAAAACACTTCGTAATAGATCAGGAAGGGATTGCAGTTCTTGTGTAATTTTACCAGAATATCCAGATTAAGCTCTCTGCATGTACTACGTAGGAGATCAGGGTGGGTTATTAGCCTTTTCGAACACCAAAACTCATCAGTACTTACCTCATGTGATCATATTTCTTGAATAGTGCGTTATATTCCACTGCCCTCTGTTGTAGCTCCACATCAATGCTACTGCCGTAAATGGAAACTACCTTCTTAATGCGACTGGGGGGAAAATGAAAGGACAAAAAGAGAAAGAGCAAATTGGGATTAGGAGCAAAGAGCAAGAAATTAGCATGCATCATCCAGAAGACACTAACTGACCTACGATGAAGAGGCGCGCTGTGTAACTGATTTGAAATGGTAGTCACTGCTGCTTTCCTCGATTATCTGTGCAACATCACTTTTTCAACTGCTCCTGTTTCTCCTCAGCAGTCAGCAGGTGGTCAATATATCACCACAAGGTATACCACACCAAAGCTCGATGACCCACAATCAAGCCATAATACAAAATAAGGCTATTTTTCTTCCCAACAAAACAAATAAAAACGGAAGGAATCCACTGAAAGTAAGGGTTTTCCCTCCCATTAATAAGTTTTCAAGCAAGGACATCATGACATAAATTGCCCACATAGCAGAGAACATCCAAAAACAGTATGAACTGGTGGAAGTCTTTCAGCCTGCAAGCAACGAACTGTAAAAGCCAATAAGATGACTTGACAACAGAAACAGAATATGTCCAAAGAGTAGTTCTACTGAGGCAAACTGATGCCAGCATATTTGCAACAAAATCCTACGCAGAACATCAAGGAGAACTCACTTGACAGTGCAGGTGAACCTTGTGGAAAGCTTCATGATGGCAGTAAGAGCGTAGCCCCGTGTAACAGATGCAGACATATTAGATATCAGAACGCTTTCTAAAATATCAAGAACTTCATCCTCTGTTACCTGAAAAGGTACAGAAAGGTTAGGCTTAGAGAGAAGCTCTGCAGCAAGCCTTCCATGGTATACTGTAAAAAATTTATCTTGCTTAATGGGCACTTCCTACCTCCCCAGTAACTTTGTTAACATGCAGCATGTATGCAGTATATGAAACAGATACATACAGATGGATGTCTTGCGATATTTTACTTTAAAATAAAGTTCCTGTTCCACATATTTTAAAAAAAAAAAAGGTTATCAAAATACAGAGTTAAAACCCCAGTTGACACTGTGCAAGCTGGGTTAGAACCAAAAATCACATTACTCTGACTAGCGTAGCTGCATTCTTCAGAGACAAAGCTGGATACGTTTATGTAGTCCATGCCAGTAGCATGGAAAGGAGCTCACACTCCCAGGTCCACTTCTATCACAGACACCACTAACTGTTGCAAGCAATCCACTCACATAGCCATCAAACAGATCCAGCCTCAGCCAAGTATACACTGCACCTTCTCAGGCTGTACCTGTATTGGCTCCTCTTCTTCACACTGACCAGACACCAGAAGATCTCCATACTCCCCTATGCACCAGGAGGCCACTTGAACCAGTGGCTGCTGTTGGAAGAATCAATAAACAAAAATCAGACACCTCAGAGATAAATGCATTCCTGTACAAAAGCCATAAACCACTATTTTCCAGAGCCAGCGTACTCAAATTCTCTATAGCAAAAGAAACAGAGGTATTTCATTTGATCAAGAATTCCTTAAGAGAAAATTAAAAGAACAAGTCCATAAAGAATACATGTTCACACTGCAATCTGTCACTGGAACTAGACAGCATGATACTGACTTACCTTGATATGTTTAGCAAATATGTTTATTACAGTGCAGTAAGGAAACTTGTATTAGGTATTACCTGAGAGTAATCACCAAGGATGGCTTTGTAGAGTCTCTGCACAGTGTAGGCATGCATCTCCACACTGTTAGTTATCAGCTGGATCAGGTTGGGAACAGCATCATCACGAACATAACTTCCTGCCTGCAAGAACATTCATGTATTTGAGAAAAAAACCAAACTGTTAGGTTTCATTATACAACTTCTCAGTAACACCCGACAACTGCTGACATCCTTCAAAGCCACATGATTCATACAGGTTTAAAAGAAAAAAAAAAAAAAAAAAAAAGAAAAAAAAAATCAATCTTATCATCCTCAAGTACTTTGTGAGTGACTGAGCAAACTCAGATTTGCTGAAGTACAAAACAGCACATTCTCCCAAAGCACTCAGCTATATCCACAGAAAGTCATACTGTAGACAAAAAGAGGATAGGATATACACATAAAAATAGTGTTCTATTTCTATGCCACGTAAGAACGAGAACACTATAGAAAAACTTATCTGTTAAATGGAAGACTAAGACAAACTCTGAAGGTACAGAGCAGCTTTTTCATCACTTCTTCAAAACTAGGCTCTATGCCACATCAGCACAGAAATTAGCACTAGCACTAAAGGAAAGATGTATGCTGCTCAACATTTTGTTTTGTTAGGACGCTCCCTCCAGCACTGAAAACATAACCACTCAAAAGAGAAATTAAATGAGCCCAACTAAGTCAATTAAGTGAAAATTCAGCAAGCCAAAACCAGGAGCTGACGCCATATAATTCTCCTAAGTCTGGCAAACTGGATTGGCCACTTACCTGTAAGAGTCTGCAATAGGCAGCCTTGTGAATGTAACTTTATAAATGGTTCTCCCTAGCAGTCGAAGGAATGAAGTTAACTTTAATAAAAGTGAGTCATACGAGAGCAACTCTCAAGGCCTACCAACTTCATATAGAAATCTATTCTATGTTCAGAGGAATGCAGGTTTCTCAGTTTCAAGTGCCACAATAGCACAGAAAGCAAGACTCACTTTTTAACTTTGCAAATGTAAACACTCATCCAAATAATGTACATCTCCTCCCATTGCCCTGCATCAGAGAACACACTGCCTACCCAAGTTACTAAGCCTTCTTCTCTCATTTGCTGAAATGCTACTCCAGTTCCAACCTCAACTGTGAAGTCTGCAAAGAAATTCAGGTAGTAAAAAAGTAACAGTCAGGTAGTAAAAAAAAAGAAAAAGAAAAACAAACAGAAAGCTGCTGTACAGCTGTTACAAAAAACAATCAGAAAGCTGCTGTACAGCTGTTACAACGTCACACACAAAAGAGCCAATTTCACTTACCGTTGTTAAGACTCTCATGATGGTGTCTATGTGCCAGCGTTTGGAAGGAGCGTATCTGATAAAAATAAGAAAAGATTTAGAACAAGAACTGCTAGCCTTAACACCAGCAAAAAAGCCAACAAAGCCAACAGAACCTCCTCCTGGCCCACCTTTTCCTAGAATAAAAAAAACTTAATCTTTGACCTTTTGTTATTAACATTGACACTGAAATGCTGAATGAATATACAAGCACAGCCATACACCTTACACATACTTAAAAATCAGGCTGTTAATTGTAATGACTCAACTTTAATGAGATCATCTCATTTGCATACGTAATCGGGGAGAACACAAGTGGGCATGTGGAAGGGGCAAGGGACCAAGGTGTCAACACAAAACCTGTTCCAAAGAACAGCAAAAATCAATAAACTAGATGGGCTTAATGATATGAGGACTGCCTACAAGGGAACATTAGTGTGCCCCAATGCACTGGTATTTCCTGTCCCTCAGCAGGGGTAAAACAATAACCTCAAAATTAACCCATTCTCCCTTAGGTGTTCAGGAAGGGAGGGGGGCAGACAAGGCAGAAATGCTCACAATTTTGATAACTGAAAAAAAATTAATTGGCAAATTGATTCCATACTTTTCTGCTGCAAGAAATATTCCTGATGCACAGTCTGCCTTGAACTCCGGCTCACATGAATCTAGGAAATACAGCAACTCCTTCATCATTCCACGAACATTGTTCCCATTAACAAGAGCAAAACTCAGTTCCATCGCACGCCTAGAGTAATGGACAGAAAACAAAGTATATTCTCCTGGTGAAGTAAAATAAATTTGAAGTAAAATAAACAAGTCCAGTTACACTCAAATACACTTACCTTTGGGTTAAAAGAGCAATCTTATTATGGAAGGCTCTTCCCACAGGATTAATGGCATTTTCTTGTTCAGGTCAAGAAGCAGCCACCCCAGAAACCATAAACTAGAGTGCAGCTGGGCGAAAGTCCCTAGATACCCTAAGGCTAGAAATATCTTTCAACAACCAGAGTCCATCAGTGTTAAGGTCCTAGTATTTACAGTTAAACATTGGTCATGTCTGACACAACTCCTCTAAGAAACTTGTACCAGCTACAGGAAGATTTCTTCAGTTTCAGAATTCTTTAAATCCATTTTGTTCTCCATGCATTAAAGTTTTGAACACATCAGAGTTGATAAGCTTTATTACATCCTGGCAGATGGGCTATGTATCATTTCCAGAACTCAGGATGGTAGTGCCCTTTTCAGATTTCAATTCCTTCCCTGTCACAAGTTGACATCACAATTAGACAAAGTCCTCGCTATCTGACATTACTTTTTGTATATAAACAAAGATCAGAGGCCAGTCCTTGTTCCTCCTATTTGAAGCTTCTGCAGTTGATTGTAGCACAACTCTCCCATCCATTCCACATTTCCTGAATGAAAACTACTGTCTACAAATATTATTTATTCCTGGGCAACCATAACAATTTGCTATGTTAAAATGCACTAAAGCAGCCTCACTAAACAACCTGACTATTGTTTACAATTGAGTAGTCGGTGTAATCCAGAACACAAACTCATCAAATATGGAATGGAGGGAACAACTTTATCAGGAACTTCATTCTCTGCCCATCACTGAGATAGGCTAATAGAATAAGATCCCTGAAGAGCATCAAAAACTTCCAGCCATATATTGCTCACATTCAATCATATTACAGGCCTCACTTCCATTACAAAGTTCCTAATAATGCCATTTGATCATATTAAGCTGACAGGTAGCCTTGAAGTAAATGGCAAAGCTATTCTGAACAACACTACGATGACCAAAGTTGCACTTCAATGTTTAAGATGACAAAAACAGGCCATACTTCACATGTCACCCAAAACCAGGTATGTCTATCTCTCAAGTTCCAGACCGCAAAACTTGCTGTTTGGGGACTCCGATATCCGGTCAGTACATCGCTTCAATGAGAATAGTGCATTGTCAGCAGCACGAGTGTCAGCACAGCAACATGGAGCTCTGCCGATGGATCACTCAAAGGCTTCATCCTCCAACAGCACTCACATGAAGCTCTGTTGTTTGCAGCAAGCTTTCTTCAACAGGCATCAGCAAAATGCTTTTGCGGCCTTCCATCCAAAGCCCAGATATGCCTTTGCTGTTCCATAGCCTAACCTCACACTGACTCTGGCACCAAACTATGACAGCCTGACTTGAACATGTAAGATAAAAATTTACCTTTTAGGATAGCGTAACATTGTAAAATGGAATTACATTACACCCATTTCATAACTGTTAAAACTAACCTTCAGAAGAAAGACAGTTTCAAATTGTTTCCTACTCTACATGTTAGAGTATGTAGTACCGTTGAAAAACCTAGATCTGATTCAGAGAGACAAATCTGAAGAATGCCTTCTAGCACAAACACCTGCAGCATGTCTAATTGGTTAGACAAGGTCAATATAAGAGGATAAGCAATTCTAAAATAAATAAAATGTGTTCATGATGTAACAAGTTGAATGAAATCCCAGCATGCAATGGTTCCACGCAGTGCAAAAGGGACGCAGCAGCCCCTATCACTGACACACTTGTTTTATGTTGCACTGGGGTCAACCAGTTACAGAATGAATACTGATAAGGAATTTGAATCAAACATGAAGTCTGAAAGACTTGATTTAGACAATTAAGTGTAGTACTTCACACAGGCCACTAGAATTGTGATCAACTGATTCAATACTATGAGTAACTGATGGAAACAAGATGCTACAATGAGTGAAAAGAACACAACTGACGTGATTAAAAGATATCAGAGGAAGAACTTTATACTGTGGTTTTTGGGTTGTTTATTTTTTGTTTTTTTTTTTTTTTTGTTTGTTTGTTTGTTTTTTTTTTTGTTTTTTTAAAGAAAGTCTTCCTATAGAAAGATGAATAATGCTGCAAGCTCTCCTATTGTCCAGAGAAGGAATGCAAAACAGGACACAGTTTATAAGCAAATCATCTGAACAATCTAGTAAAATTAAATTCTACCATTGTCTAAATATAATCTAGAATCATTTATTGGAGATTTTAACATTGCTTCAGGATAACGTGACAGTAACTGTTTGTCTGGGAAAGAAAAGTAAGACCAAGCATGTCAGAGTAGTTTTGATTAGGACCTTAATTTATGAAGGCTGATACTTCTGAGCACACCAGCTCATTTCTGGGTGACTGCATTTTGGAAATGTTCAGGCAAATGGAAAAATTCTTTCCCCATCAATCCAAGAGGCGGAAAATGTAAAAGCAGCTTCTCAAAGAAAGTGGCTGCATGCTTTCATTACCTTTATTACCTTACATGAAGTAGAAATCAAATGCTGCATTAATACTAGTCTCATTTTCAGCTCTCCTGTCAGTACTCCTGTCATTTTCCCATATGTTCTTGTCCTGCTCACTCTTCATAGGCTGTCTCTTTCACTGATATTTCAGTTACCTTTTAATGGAGACATCCAAATCTTTCAGGCAGTCCACAATTGTGCTTCTATGTCTCTGTACTGCATTATGGTCTGTCTGCACAGTTTTCAACAGTGATGTCAAAGCCACATATCTGGGATAAGAATATATAAGAAAATACTTAAAGGTAAGCACTCGAGTTCTATGCACAAGTACACCTACCCACATTTAATCTTCGTTTGCAACAGAACAGAGCTCTCTTGTACCCCTCAGCAACAAGTGAGGATCTTCCACGAGGCTACCTGGCCTAGCTCCAGTAGGGTTACCATACAAAAGAGTAACACATTTAATGATATCCTGCTGCTCAGACAAGCACCCACCCGAGTTCTTGGGCTCATGCCAGGTGTCTGCAGAATCACAGGAGTTGGAAGGGCCTCGTGGAGACCGAGTCCAACATCCCCTCCCCCCCCCAGAGAAGTTTTGTTACAGTAGGTTGTACAAGAAAGCATCCAGGCAGATTTGACTATCTGCAGAGAAGGAGATTCCACCAGTTCTCCAGGCAGCCTGCCCCAGTGCCCTGTCATCCAAAAGTAAAGTTTTTTCTCATGTCCTGTCTTCATTTTGAAAAATCAAGGCAAAGTTTAGGCCTCCATATATCACACACAAACTACTAAGCGAGTTAAAACTCCCAAAGCTAGAGCCTTCCACCCATATGATGATTTGTAATACTAATGCCTACAGATGTGACTTAATTCTGGCAGTTGCAGCAATTCTATGTTCAGATTAAAGAAGTAATGGTTGTGCATTAATTTATTTGATGACAGCAATACGCAGACAGGAAAAAAAACAAAACAACTCCTTGTCTAATTTGTAAAGTCACCACTGTCCACTCTGATTTGAATGTCATCACTGACCAGATGAAACAAGACAGAATATACACAGAAAACTGAAAAAAACCCAGCTACTCACCCAGAGTAAGAAATCACATTAAGAATTAACTTTACACTCCTAGATTCGACTACTATGAAGGGCAGAGCCACAGTTAAGGTTTTGACAGAGAGAGCGCCAAGAAAAGAAGAAAGCTTGTCTGTCACATTCACCCCAATAACAACAATTCCCAGAACACTCTCCTGGAAAGTTCTACTTAGTACAGTCTTAGTGTCATTGCTTCTTAGACATTTTAAGCTGGGCGTAGATGGAGCACAGTTCATGCAACTTACCTAATATTTTTGTCATTGTTTAATAAGAAACGGCCTAGGATGTTAATGGCTAACACCTGCAGAAAAAGTTACAAAAGGTCAGTGACCAAGAAGTCCTCCATCATTGCTTTAAGGTGACTTTAAAGGCAATGTTACTACTGTGCTTCTTGGCCAAAAGGATAACAAAGAACTCTGGAGCCTGACTAAGCAAAGGAAAAACTAAGACAAACATGGTACAGGCTCTCTCCTGCACTCAAGAAAAAACAGTCTTCAGGAAGGTTTTGCTGCCCCTCCCCCAGCCTCTCCTTCCCCTTTTCCTCCCTCATTTTCTTTTTTCTCTTTTTTACCCTTTTCTCCCCCACCTCCACCCCATAACACTATAATGCGATGGAAAGCACAGCAGTAACACCAGGGTAGCAAAGTTCTAGGCTGCAGCAAGTGAGGACAAGTCTAAATTAAATAGTCAGACACAGAAACAATGGAAGAAAAAGCTGCTTACTCTTGGAAGGCCTCAGGTAGGCAGGAATCTTCAGGTGAGACACCCTCACCACCACTGCTGACCTTTTAGTGAGGACTGGGAAGGGGCTCCAGCCCTTCTGACCACTCAAGTATACTGCATGCACCTGAGCTCCCCTGGGCTGGCCCTGCCTTCCCACCAGGTGCTCAATCACTGCTTCAGGCCAGGACACAGCATTTCTGCTACACCCCTTAAGTACACCTTCCAAAGAGGCTACAAGTCTTATCTAGAAGCAACCACAGAGCTTTTTTGCCTCACGTGTCTTCTACAGAAATTGCTCTCACACAAAAAAAGTCACAGCAAAGACAACTTACTCTCAGTCCACTCTCAGATTTTATGTCCATAATAGTCAGCACAGTTTCATAGAGAATGGCATTTCCCACATTTTTACTTGTTTCTGTATTAGTAGCGACCTAGAGGAAAGAAACAAAGTGACTCCATTACCTCTAAAGTGGATCCCCTTTGTGCTGTTCTGCAGAAGAAGCAATGAAACTCAGCAATCCTTAGTGTACCACATCTACAAATACGCGCCCCAAGCAACAAAACTCACCCCAGCGTGGCAAGCAGCCACACTATCTTCATCAGTGCTGAATCCAAATAATTAACAAATGAAAAGAGAAAATGTAAGCTGATTAACTTTGCAGGTCTCACCTGTGCAAGTATGTCATTCATTGCTTCACTAGAATCATCATCATTTCGCCCTAGAATCCTTAGTAACCGCAGGATTCGCACCTATGACAGAAATAGAAAAACCTCACTCAATGGAAGTCTTTCACAGAAGGGCCATGAAATTCACTGCTTGAGCAGCAACAAAGAAGAAAACAAAAGACTAATTTTCTATTTCAAAGTGTAATGCAGATTTGGTTCTATTCTCAGGCGAACACTGTGCTCTTTCTCTCTTCATAGGCCAAAATTGTTACGAGTACATCGAGTGTCAAACCAGGCACGTTCCTGCAAGACCAACATTCATTGTTTCTTCTCGTTTTGCCACAACTTAGCACAGTATCATAGAGCACGGCAACTTTTTTAAACCAGGTGGCTTTCACTAAGGTAGATGAATAGCATTTACCCAGCCTACTCTAACACAATGCCAATCTTCAATCAGCACTGCTGCCCTATGGTAACTATCTTGTCAAACTTATGTCTCACAACACAGTGCACAAATCAAAACTATCAATGACGACTAGCATCATTTCTTACCTGCAAAAAGGGGTCACTGATCCCAGACACATCATGCTCTGGTGAATATCCAGACATGATAAGGTTCTTCAGAATACGAACTAGTTGGGGAACAAGCTGTGAAGAAGAGAGTTATCAGAAAATGTACCTATTAGCTTGTTGTTCCTTCTGCGCAAGTACAGGTCCAAAAGCAAATCTTGCATTTGAAAGCAAGTTGTCCTACAGATTCCTCCTTAAAGTTCAGCCTGATCATCTAGAGACTATTATACAAATATCTACAGCTTACATGTTTCTAGTCATTTCCTATCTAAGCTGGAGTCTGAGCACCATATTCCATCTTCAAAGTACTAAATCCACCACAACTTGATAAGCAATACCTAAAAGGAAATATCAATTAAAAAAACTCCCATCTTCATGAAAAAGGAAGCTAGGACTGTTGAAGTAGCATTCTTCCAAAACTTTGTTTGGGAGCTTTACCAGGTTAGCTCCAAGTTGATTTTTAGCATACATTCCCATGTAGTATATATATATATATCACCTGCTTTCACAGACCATCAGGCATAAGAGATTTAATCTTTTCAGGTACTTATAGGATTACAACAAGTTACTAAAGATTCCTTTAAGATTGATACTCCATTCAAATCAGCCTCTCAAGAGAAAAGCTTGGTAATCTGCAACACATTCCCCCACAAAAGAATAACATGCAAGTGTACTGATCTGCAAAAATGTTCCTGGAGCCCTGATTAACATTTGCTTTGCCTTCTAACATGCAAGAATATTATCAGAACTCAGGACAAGGCAAACAAAGGAAAACATTACAGCCATGGAGATTGGTTGAGGGCCCCTTACCAACCTCCTGTACTCAAATTTCACTGACAAAAAACACCAGCAGTGGAGTTGCACCCAGTAGTTCTTTGGCAGTGTCGTAAGAACACATACAGATGGCCACACAATTCTCCTGCTTCCTTCCATGTAAAGGAATTACCCACAGCTGCCCTACATTTAAGGCAAGGCACAAAGCCACCAGTGGTAAAGAGCAGTCATAGCTACAGTGTGCATATACAGAAAAAAAATCCTTCAAAATCCCAAGATGAGGGCTTGAGCAAAGAAGGTTTGTGTTTTGAGAAGGCCACAACAGAGATCCAGGGCTGATATGGGTAAAGCAGCTTAAAAGACCAGCACACAAAAAGCACTGAACAAGACAACTGCTCTAAGAACACAGCATTGATCACAAACATGGCATTATCTGGTACTGCATCACGAGAGGCAAACATCACAGACTCAGTGTAAGCATGCACCATGTACAAGAATTAAACCTTACCTTTTCGTTCTAACACAGAGCAGGATTCCAAACAGACAAGAGAGACAAAACAGATGAAGCAGGCATTAGGGACAGATCAATATTATATCATTCATAGCATAAACAACCAAAGAGACTGCTAGAAAAGCAAGTACCTAGTACTTACATTTTGCAGAGGCAGTTTGGTTTTTTTTTAAACCAGTAAGACTACCACCTATAAGACAGCAAAGGCTCATTTCCACATGTCCCTAGTCTTTCTTTCATTCCTGCTTTGCTGTACACAACCAGGGCAAGAGATGTATGTTGAAGTGGTAAAACGCATCAAGAGGACAAACTGTTTGAAATCCCTAGTGATTTACACAAGTCAGTGAAGAACAGTAAACTGGGCATGAAAATAGACAAACCTCTTTGAAACACATGAGAGGAGCAAATGGCCAGTTCTGTTGATCAGCTTTGATCAATTTCTCCCTTGACCAAAAATCAGATTAATTAAAAAAATAAACAACGACGTTTTCACAGTCTGGTAGTCTTTAATATGGCAATAATACTGCACAGCAAATTACAGCAATAAATGTTAGGAAACGTGTGTTAAGGTGGAAAATAAGCAAACACTCCTACGAGAGGGGGAATGATGTTGCCACTGAAACCTCTAAGTTAGAAAGGAAAATCATGTACTATAGCATGCATCAGAGACAAGCTTCCATTGAACATGATAAGGTTCAGAGAACATTCCACATATCTCTTATATGAGCTTATACAATTGTGACAGTGGTTACAGAATTCAAGCGCATGTGCAAGCTTTTTCTGCTTCTTTACAATTAATATACATGCACTTCCTGATGACACTGTGTAATTAGCTATAAAGAGCAAAAAAGCCGGAAGGGAACACCAGCCAAAGGGGGCACTTATTCTTAACTGTAAAGAAAGATTCATACAAACTACACAGTCTTCAAGAGTAATTTTTGTAACTTACCCCTTCTTTGAGAGGGCTAGGCACTCAGCACTCCCTTTTTTTTTCTTTATTGTTAACAAGCAGGTAGCACAACTAAATTCTTCAGTTGTAAGGATTAAGAAGGTGCACACTGCTTTCACTTCAGAAATCAAGAAGCAGCAAAACCAAAACAAGACCATGAAAATTAATTCTGCAGTGTTACCAAATTCACACTTACCTTTCTAAAATGTGCAAGCATGTCTGGGCTTCTCTCACACATCTCCGTGAGGAGAACTACTGATGTGTGTAGAACACCTAAAAGCCACAGGAAAAAACCTCTTAATTTCATTAGCTCTAGGCAAATAGCAAAAATTGCAATTAAATTAAAACAAATCATACAAAACAATCTCCCCTTCAATCTCACACATGCTTCAAAAAAGATGCTTTCAGCTGTGCCCAAGGTAAAGTTGATGACAAAGTGCATGTGTCTTAGATCAACCACACTTGTATATTGCTTAAAGAAACTTGCATACTAAATATACTGTTAGACAGAAACAAACATGTAAATAAGATTTGAGAAGGACAAACTGTTAAATGTTTTGTACGCATTGAGTTTCTCACGCTCCCCAATTTTCTCTTCTGATTTGGATACCCTACCCAGCCTTACGTGGTCTGCACTACGCCTTCCTCAGGAGGTCTCAAACCTCAAGTTTGGAGAAAGACTACAGCAGCTTGCTAAAGCCAAACCGTCTATTTGGCAGTCAACTGCCGTGTTCTGACTTAGTTAAGTTAAAACACCTCTGAAAAGTAGTTAGAAAAGCCACGTCAGTTACAAAGCATTTAATTAATTACAACAGTTGAAAAATCAACCACTGGATGCACCGTCAGCAAATCTGCAGACAACACCATGCTGCGTGGTGGGGTCAAGATGCTGGAAGGGATACCACCTAGAGGCACCCAAGACAGGCTCAAGAGGTGGGCCTGTGCAAACCTCATGAAGTTCAATGTGGCCAAGTGTAAGGTCCTACCACTGGGGTTAGAGCAATCCCAAACCTGAATACAGGCTGGATGATGAGTGGGACCTGCAGTGGTGGACCTGGAGGCATTGGCAAAGGAAAAAAAAAAATATCACACACGGCCTGCTAGAAACGTTTCACTTTACTACTCTGTGTGGAGACAAACTTGCTGTAACATCTACTGTAGGACTCCTAGCACAACCAACTCTCTTCTTAAGGCACATAATCACTGAAGATAAGCAAAAGCACTAAGCCTGTAAAGAGTGAGCACTGCTTGATACAAAATTAACCAAGTATTTTTTGTATTTCTCTTTAAACAATCTTCTGAAGTACTTGAAAAAAAAAAAAAAAAAAATGCATTAAAACAATAACCTGGCAAAAAAAGCAAAATTAACGTGAGAATCTATATCATGATCTAAAACAGCACTGAAGACAGACTCTTCCCTGACAGAGAACATCTCCACTCTGGTAATGCCTGCTAAGCAAGTGTCAGATAATCCTATGGCACTGCGCTGAAATCACCCAAAAAGCTGAAAAGCACACTCTGAACTTCATTTAGGCAGCGTACTGGATAGAAGTGACAAAACTTTCCCATTGCACCCACTCTGAAATAGGTAAAAAACATTGAGAGTTCCTTTTATCATCCATGCCATGTAGGTGCTGCTAATCTGTAGCCATACACGCCTGCCTTCTCAATTACATTTGTTCTCACTGCATAGCAATGGGAAGAAACAAATAATAAAAATATAACTCAGTAAATCCCTTCAAATAAAAGGCTTCAGTACTGTGTGCCATACACAAAAAACAGTATAGTCTTGCTAAGCACGCTCACACATTACCATGGTTCTTTTCATTCAGCAAGTTTTTGGTGGCTGGCAGGAACATCTCCATAAGTTCAGGCACCTTTCTAATAACATGAACAGCACACAGTGCTGCCTATACAGGAAAAACATTTGATTAGTATGTAGCACAATGACAAGAAGTGAACACCTAGCACAGCAGGAACTACCACAAATTTCATGATATACAGAGGCTTGAAATGTTTGTAGCACATTTTTCCACTCTCTGCTACAAGTGATACTAAACAGCACCACAGAAGAGTTTAACAAAACTTCCACAGTTGAAAAGTAAAAAAGGCATTGAGTTGCAAAGTAACATTTGCACTAACAGCAGTTCATTTGAAAGTTATTCACTTCAGAGCCATGTTAACTGCTACATGGCTCTGCATTTAATAGGGCTACTTCAACCTGTCTCATTGTTAAGAAGGGAGGGGAATGATAATGCACTGGAAGTGAAAAGTGAAATTTATGTCAAATGCGTGGCTTGTTTTCCTTCCTTTGAATATGATCACATTCCCACAAAACAGTTCCCCTTCAGGTGACAGGTCCTATGAAAAACAGAAATACACTTCAAAAAGTTTGCCCATCTTCTCCAGAGAACAGAAGCAAGAGAAGACCCTACTCATTGTAGCTGCCTGAGAATCAAGTGCGCTGCCTCTTCCCAGAATACAGCAATACGTCTCAGCACTGCTGTCTTGCCTAAAATCCCATTATTTCCCCCAACCTTTTCAAGACATAACAACAAAATATATTTAAAAAGAACAAAATTATTTATACTTTATTGATGCTCTTTCATACTGCTAACAATTAGAAGCTTGGAGCTAGAGCCTGTGAACAGGCAGGTGCTGGTAATACAATCAGTAACCTTAAGGTACAAAGTACCCTAGAAATTACAAACAGATCATCTGTAGAAGGCTAGCCTTCTAGAGGATTACACACACATCCTTGCTCCGCAGACATGGGCTTTGGCCTCAACTTGTCTTGCACACTTGCAAATATTCAGTCAGCATTCCAAACTGTCTAGCATTCCAGTTATTAGCAAGATATCCCAACCTCAAGTTTTAACACTTAGCAAAACATTAAAAAGTACCTTCTTCCTAAGATAGGAGTTGGATGTTTTGAGGAGCTTTTCAACCTCTCCTGCAAGGTCTCTGCACATTTCTGAAGAGCCCATGCAGCCAAGAGTGCAGAGTGCCAGCCCCTGCACATATTGCGTGCTGTGGTTAAGGTCACTGCAAAGAAGAGGGAAAAAAAAAAGGACAGTCAGTATGTGAACAAATCCCAAATATGGAAAAAAAAGTGCATCTGTGTATGGCCATCCAGCCATCTGTACGCATAGCCCAGAAGGAATCTCCAAATTCTAAGCTATTCGGGAGTATGAGTAAACAATATCAGCTTTGAGTTTTCTATTACTTTTATATAGAATCCTCAAAGAAAAAGATCTCAGCAAAACCACCAGGTGAATATCCGGTGCTTTGCTTGAGCTGAGAGGAGGGAAGACCACAGAGAACTCCATTAAAGCTTACAGTAGTAAATACTAAACTTTGTATTTTGGAATTTGCAAGCAGGAAAGAAATTAACATCAAGTATAGCCTTGCAGAGACTCTGCAAGTTGTCCCAGCATAAACAAGTTGTAGAATAGGCTTTAGCTTCTGGTTTATAAGCGCTTTGATTTGCAGTTTCTGAATCTTAAGATTTTCACACAGTTTGACTTGCATATTTTTACAATGGCTTTTAATTCTAGTTACCTCCCCTTCCTTCCATTTGACTATTAGGATTAATGAGTGATGAATTGTAAAACTTCATCTGGACTTGGTCGTGAAATAAAACCTTAAAAGGGTAACAAACGATACAAATGCTTAATACATTAACCTCAGTATAATGCAAAATAAGAATTTTTGCTAAGACTTACAGACTGAACAAAAATATTGAATCGGAAGTGGGATTCATATTTACAAACTGAACAGCATTAAAAACAAAATCTATGCAAGATATTCTGGCTCAGGATGGAGGATAACAAAAACAACGTACAAAATTAACAAAACCCACTACTCACAGAGCTTGCAAGTAATCCATACGGAAATGCTGTTAGCCTCTGGAAATTGCAAAGTGCAATACCCATAAGCAGACACTACTTCTGAGGCCACCCACCAACCATCAACCACTAAGTATGAGACAATACAGCTTCCATACAGCAATTACAACAGCTTTTAAAAACTGACTTCAACCAATTTTCCATCAGAACACCTGGTACTCCTGTCACCACAGCATCCAGGATTCATTCACAAATGTGAAGAACATAAAAATACGGTTCCTGTTTGGGGGGTGAGTTGGTGACTGCATGACAGGAGTACAGGGGAAGCAAGCAGTATGCAACCAGATTCATACAACATGCAGAAAAGAGAGCATTCTGATGTAATATATAGAAGTTATGGCAATATGCAAATAAAATAACAGAGTACACCTGCCATTAAAATGGGTTGATTTTTGTTTCCTTATTTCAGCAAGTTTTGGGCAGCAATACGTAACAGTGAATATAGCAAGTACATGCTGCTACACAAGGGTGTCCACTTGTTTTTATGGAAGATCTAGGTTGTGGTGATAAGACACTGATGAAAGCACGACAAAGTGGCAGGCGAGGAAGCAATAAGCTTCCCACCACCTAAGTGGGTTGCTATCTCCCAGTTTTGTTTAGCTTCAGCCCGGCTCATGTCAAATTCATCCCACCCTTACCACACAAATTCGTTTTAGCATAAGCAATCAAAAAAAGATGTTAATACAGCAGCCTATTTCTAATGGAAGAGTCTCACAGGTTTGACAATTCAATAAAAGAATACTTGACCAAACATTTGTAGATCCCAAGGCCCACAGTCTTGTCAAGACTTCCCAAGCACTTTGAGGACACAGTCCAAGCAATCAATCTTACTAATACTTCATTTACTATTACTCAAGAGGTTTATGTTCAAAAGGTAAATAAAACCAGACATACCACATACAAGCAGGAACAAGGATAAAACAACTAGACCCCAGTTGTTCCACTCCTTCTCCCGCCCATCTTGAAAAAAGACTGCCCATCATTAGAAACAGACCAATCATCCTTCACTTAACTATAATATGAAACAGTGCTGGTTTAGCAGCACTTCACTAGAAAGATTTTAAAAGTAAAGAAACTGAGGAAAAAAACAATCCTTATTTCTCATCCTTTCTTGACCAATTTCAGGAAGATACCAAGCAGACAGCACATTCCAAGTTGCTGCCTTGCTTCCGAGGAAAATCACACATCAGTACTGTTAGGTCAACCTTAAAAAGAAGGCAGCATACACAGTCTTGACTCCCAAGGTCAAAAACTTCAGAGCTCATCAGCACAAGTAAACAAATAGAACCAGAGATACAGTACAGAGATACAGTATTGTAACAGAGGATAACCTGACCTACAGTGTTTTAGCAGTGTTAAGAAAATATCCTGATTTATTACTATTTAAAAGGTACGTGGACCTTCAGCAATGCTGCATTACTAACTGCATGCCTGTCTCTTTCCTACTTTGTAAGCAGGGAGATCATTTAATTCTTGAATGTGGAATTATACTTGGCACTGCTGAGGTCACACCTCAAGCACTGTGTTCAGTTTTGGGACCCTCACTACAAGAAGGACATCGATGCCTTGCAGCACGTCCAGAGAGAGGCAAGGAAGCCACAAAGGGCCTTACTGAAGAGCAGCTGAGAGAACTGGGATTCTTTAGTCTGGAGAAGAGGAGGTGAGGGAGGAAGGGAGGTGGATCTCATTAGTCTCTGCAACTACCTGGAAGGAGTTGTAGAGAGCTGGGGGTTGGCCTCTTTCCAGATAACAGCAATAGGAAAAAAGGTAATGGCTTTAAGTTGCACCAAGGGAGATTCATATTGGATATCAGGAAAAATTTACTCTCAGAGTGGTCAGGCATTGGATCTGACTGCCCACAGACATGGTGGACTCACCATCCCTGAAGGTTCTCAAGAAAAGAGTAGATGTTGCCCTGAGTGACATGGTCTACCGGGCATAGTGATGATCACAGAATGGCCTGGGTTGGAAGGGACCTCAAGTTCCAACTCCCATCAATGCAGGCAGGGCTGCCAGCCAGTAGATTGAACACTACATCAGGCTGCCCAGGGCCTGATCCAACCTGGTCTTGAACACCTCCGTGGACAACCTGCTCCAGCATCTCATCACCCTCTCAGTGAAAAACTCCCCCCAACGTCTAATCTAAACTTTCACTCCTTTAATTCATAAGCATTCCCCCTTGTCTTGTCACTATCTACCCATGTAATAAGCTAAGGGTTGGACTAGATGATCTTACTTGTATTTTCCAACCTGAATGATTCAATGAATGGAAGTTGTGAGTTTTTTGGTTTTTTTTTTTTTTTTTTTTTTTAAACACAAATGTTTTCTGGTACCCTTACTTCTTGATGCAATTGGTCATAAGAAGATGGACATCCTGTCTCTCATCCAGCAGCAACATGGCACCTAAATACCCAATGCGCTTGTCTGTGAATTTCTGAGAGGCAATGAGCTTGAGGCACTCCAACTGGGGAAAAAAAAAAAAAGAAAGAAGAATTAGCTTAAACTATTTCTCAACTAGAAGAGAAAGAGTTTGAACTCTGATATTAACTAATTTAGGTCTCTCTCATAATATATTTTTAAAAGTACATTCTATTCCCATTTTGATGATATGGAAAACAAAGGCTGAATGACCAGCCTAAAGATTCCAGCAAGGAAGCAGCAAAATCAATAGTAAGTCTGCTGCCCTGAAATAACAATCCTCTGCTGATCTTCCATTACCTCATACATACCAGATAAGCAGGATCAGAGCACAAAAGAGAAAAATAACACAGATAAGAACTATCAGTTAAAAAAGAAAAAAAAAATCCAGAAATCCAGAAAAAAATCCAAAGATATGCCATGTTTGATAGACCTTGGAATTTTTTTATCTATTTATTTATTTATTTTGCACTGTAATGGGTACATCTACCCACCAGGGAGAGAATCAGTGCTCTGTTAAGATGTCAACAACAATTTCGATGATTATGATCTGTAACTAAGTAACTTGCTAGATAAATTTTAGACACAGTCATATATGTCAGTTCCCGCTGTCCTGCAATCCTGTAACTTCTGTATGAACTTCAGAATCTAAAATCACATGCATTGCAGCCACTACAAACATCACATCCCTTCTATCATGTAAAAACATACCAGCTGTATTCAAAAATATAAAGGAAATTCCTTGATAACATGCCTAGCTGCCACTTACACTCAGATAACTTCAGAGTTTAGCTGCTAGCTAATTCTTAAACATGTTCTTAGTTCAAAAATACAAACAGTAACATCACTATGCACTGAAGTATCTCACTAACCGATAATCAATTGCATATAAGCATATCTCTACTTTCCAGCATGTTACACTATAACACGATGGAAAGTATAATGCTTATAGCAGGGTGGCAAAGTCTCTGACTGCTGCAAATGAGGACAGGCCCAAATGCAGCAGCCTAGACACAGAAACAAAGGAAGAAGATTTACTTACCTTTGAAAGGCCTCAGGTACACAGGGATCTGCACAAAGATACCCTCACCTCCACTGCCAACCCTTAAATGAGGTCTGGGAAGGGGTGGATCCCAGCCCCAGCCCTTCTCATCACCTGGGTGCATCACCGCATTCACTTGAACTCCCCTGGGCTGGCCCTGCCTTCCCACCTGGTGCTCCATCACTGTTTCAAGCTGTGACTTCAGCATTTCCGCTACACAGACAAAGCAGCAAAAATGGCTTCTCAAAACAGGTAAAAGACTCATCTTCTCACAAGCACATGCCCTAAGTTCGTTCTGCAAGTTAGCTAGGGCAGCAAGTAAGCACACAATGGATGTATGGAGGGGATGAGACAAAGCTTCCAATAGACCTACTTTAAAGGACACAAAAAAGGCCTGCATAGGCAAAAATAAAGGATAGCATGAAAAGGTTTTCACAGTCCTTCACTATAAGGAAGTTTGAACAGAACTGTTTTTGAACAGGGAGATGCGAGAAGTGCACGTGCATCAAGAGAGCAAAGCTACTGGCTGCTGAAAAACTTGTAAGAAAATTAAATTTAACGTGACAGAGAAAATAAATGCTATGACCTAGCTACTAACAAGTTCTCACAACTGCACAGAATCGGAATATATAACACTGCTATGCAAGAAGTTGCCACATAATCATCTAGCTTGAGCTGAGTGACCAACTGACAAGGAAAAGATTGAATGAAAGCAAATTCAGTTATCTAAGATTAACCTGGATGAAGAAATACCTCTAAGCAGTAAGATCAGTCATACAAAGAGATAACTGAACACGCATGAGAGGGCAAGATCAACCAAGAGATAAGGTACATAACACTGCGTATTTACCTCTTATCTTTACAGTGACTGACCCATTTTTTCCCCAGAAAAGTTTAAAAGGTGCTTTCTTACATAATGCTCTGCAGAAGTGCAGTGTGGAACCAATGGCCTCACAGCTACAGCATAAGAGCTAAAGAAGGCAAGACAAACATCTAAAAGAAAAACCAGAAGGAAACTAATGACTGATGTTTCCAGCACTTTTAAATTTGTATGATATTACTGAAATTTACCCCGCAAAAAGCTGACCAGTTTGCTTCACATTATACAAATACATGCAAATTAGCTTAGTGCACAGCACTGCTGAGCAACACAATGAAGTGAAGCTCTGTTTAATTAGTAGAAGAATTCTTGATGTCACTATATCCATTTCATTCAAAGGAACAGCAATTAAGATCTGCTGCCTCAGTGCTGTAACAGATACATCAACAAAGCCTGATAATACAGGTCTATTGCCAGATTACAACTCACAGTTTTTACTGACATAGACACCTTTCTGACTGGCATTCTTTTGCAGGGGAAATAAAACTTTAAAAAAAAAAAAGTGGATGCCCAATACCTTCTAATCATAACCCGATTTTAACACGCGCTCAAGACAGTTTGCCATGCACTGCATCTCAGCATGCACTGGCTAGATGTAACACAAGATTTCCTGAATCAAAGTGGAGGAATCCTGTCTTGGAAAGAAGCAGATCAGCCATTTGCTTCTTCTGACACCTTCTCTGAACACTTATTAATGGTTACCCCATTCATAACACTAGCTGAAGTCAAATGTCTGTCTTAAGGATAAAACCAGACATGGGATCTAACAGCCTGTGGCTCTCCCGTTTTTCATCAAAATGAATTTCCTACTCATTCATGCTGTCACTCTGAAACTTCTTGTTTATAATGCTGGACTGCCTATCTTCAAAATTCTACTACTGCTGGAATGGCATCTGCCTTCAATAGTCCCCCAGCACATTGTTTTGGAGAAAGAACAAGGATCATATAAAATCACCTACATAACACCAGTATCTTGAAAGATTCCTTCCAGTCATAAAAGCTGACGACACAAAAGATTTCAACTTAAATAATAATTGCTAAAATCTCTTCTTAGCCTTGGCCAGAAATACAACTGACAAATTGTATGAGAACCAAGGCCAGAGGATGGTATGCTACAGTCAGCATAGTTGTTTTCCTGTTACATCAGAGTTGCTACATCTCAAACAACTCTTTTCTCTGGGAGAAGAACCCAACGATGTAGAAATAAGGTGATCCCCCCTAAATTCAAAGTACAGTCCAAACTCAAAGACAATTTGAGGCCCTGGTTACATTATGACTGCAGCAATTGGACAGATCGGCACAATGGAAAAGGCATTACAACAGAGGTGTGATGATGACAGGACTGGCACAATAGAGAGGTGCTATGAAGGAAAGAAGATTGCTCACCATTGTCAGAAGATTCCAGGTTTGCAGAGGAGAGCTTCACCAAGGAGGCATCTCCAACCAGAGCCCCTTCCCCAGTGGCAGTCAGCCCTTCAGTGAGGTCTAAGAGCTGCAGCCAGCCTCCATCCCTTCTGGCCCCACAGCTGAACTGCTTCACCTGTGCTCCCAAGGCTGACCGGGTCCTTTCCCCAGCTGCTCAATCAGTGCTTCAGGCTGTGACTCAATTACCATACAATGACTAATGGGATGTTTACTAACAAAAAAATGAACTGCGCCTCAAACACTAAACAAAGCTCAACCTGAAGAACATTTTGCAGATCAAGACCCCATCATCTTATCTCTCTTTTCCACAATTTGACTGAGGAACACTACATGGAAAATAAGTCAAAACTCACATCAGCATTCTCCAAATCTCTTCACTAAAATGGGGACAAGAAACACCAATCCTTTATTGCTGGGAACAGACCAACTATTACCTGCCTAGAATAAATTACTTCAGAATAAGGAAACTCCTAAATAAGAAACACCTTTAAAACATCTGGCAGTTTCTATCAGGTACACAACTTCAAGATGCCATCCAGAAATACTCATACTTACCAGATCGTAGTTTAACTACTGCTCTGCAAGACACACCTGCAGCAAGGAGCAGACAGCCTGGGTAAAGCAGACTAACTGCAAGTTTCATAACAAAATACATAAGAACAGGTTTCAGACAGGAAGTGTCTTTGTCGTAGTCAAAACTAACTAATGCAGGTTCTGAACATGCGCGAGGACAAAACCTCAAAACATCTCAAAGCAAAACTGCTCTAGTTCTGCTCCAAAGCAGCCCACGCACTCAAAACACATGAAGCATACTGGTATACATACACACACTGTAGCAGCAATGAAGACCAACCTACCTGTCCAAAATGTGCAGGGTATCCCAGCATGTGCATGTACAGCAGCTTTGCCACATTTCTGCATCTGTATGTGTTATCTTCCTCTCGGAAGGATGACCGGATCGCAGCACATTCCTTCTGAATCATCTCACGCTCTTCTGCCTGGGTTCTTGCTGTCCGGATGGTCCGGATCAGCTCCCGCAGTCTGATGGGGGCTGGCATCCTCTGGGAGAAGAAAGAGATCCATAAGCCTTCTACTGTACCTGAGAACTTCATCATTGTCTCAGTTCAGCATATTCTTCTTTCTTCCCTTATAATTATATAAATGGAAGAATTTAAAAAAGGCAAACAGCTTCACTAGCATGGTTAAAAGCATACCCAAGGCCACAGGAATTCATTGTACCTTCCATGAACAGAAGTTCTCACAACTGCTTTTCTAGAAGCAGAAACTGCTATGCTTTGAACAAGCTGCCAAGTGAACGTAACGTGATTCCCAGTCCGAAATAGATAAGAGCAGTACTCAGCAAGGTATGTTCATGTTCTTATCTTCTGCCTCCCACCGAAGAGGTTTGATCCTTGAAATCTCAACAATATGGGACACAAATCTCCTTTACAAAAAACAATGCTGTTAAATAACTAGCAGAAGTTTTCAGACAGGTATTTCAGAGAGCCACACTTCATAAATCTCACATACTTGTGCCGTGCATCCTTCTTCCTTTAAGGGGGGAAAGACATCAGAAAATGCTGATGGAAGATAATACGAACAGTGTGGTTGCACTTCAGAATCAAGGAGACACTGTACGTTTATTAAATACCAGCCAGAACAATCATTTCTTCAGAGGCAATGTGACAAAGCCTCTCACAGAACTGCATGAAGATGACTTGCTTTTTTTTTTTTTATTTAAAAAAAGCACATGCTACTTGAAGTTCAGGTAGTTTCATTTTGCCAGGTGATGGGTACTACCCGACCTAGAGAGCACTGCATTCTCCTGAATGTATTTCAAGAGAAAAATGGCTCCCGCCCAAAAAAAGTTTAGGAAGTTCAACCGCAAAACCTAACTGTAGTTTATGCTCAGCAAAGCAGACTTTTGACTTTCATGAGGATAAATCTATGCAAACTTATCTACAGAATTCTTTCATCCACATTAAACTGCAAGATTAGCTAAGTCATTTTTAAATCACAAAATCACACCAATGTGTAAAATGTTACTCAACACAGCAGCCAGTCACAGATCATCTGTGTGTCACCATCCTCCTAAATCAGTGCCATAAATTTTAAGTGCTACCATATCAAAGAGACACATTCAGACATCATGCTGACTGGCTGGCATGGCACAACAGGTGTGACTGCACAATGAATGGACAGCTGGGAAGCTCACATTCAGCAGGGCAACCCGTGTGCTGCACCAGAAAAACAGACAGGCATGTTACAATGAGTAACGGTGGCCTCGCAGACAAGCAGCTGAACGTTGCTCAATGGATCTGAACTATAAACTCAGACTGTTACAGCACTCAATCTCAACGCTGCATCTCCTCGGTCAGTCCAACCAAACAGCCCCTCACATTCCAATTGCCCATCTTCATGTCTCAAGAGCTCAAATTCGCAGAGACACAAAGTATTACATTTTGAAAAGTGTATGTAGAGATATTTTATCTTCCTCAAAGTACTGTGAAGTGAAGGATCAAGATAACTGGACTCCCCAATCCTCAGCCTTGCCTCTCCACAAGCTGTAAGATTTCCTCACATTACTGTGATACAAAACAAATCTATGCTGCCCAAACATTCAGATGCCACACTAATAAGGGTAGGAATGGTGAAAGGGAAGTAAGAAAGCTGCCTCCAGAACAGCATTTGAACATGAGACACAAAAGGCCTTTGAATACTGTAATAACATTCTTTTAATAAGGGCTGTGATGTCTCAAAGGTTTTGAAAATCCTCTGAAAGGATCTTCCTCACACAGCATCACATCCATACAACACAGAGAAATCTTTAGTTAGATGGGAATGTTTAAACCCTTAGAACAGAGTGCTGCACTGAACTAACAGAGCTCTGATAGTGGTAGAGCCACAATCTTTCAACAGTAAAGTAAGGCTGTAGGAACATACAAACAGCATACGAAAACCCTGCTAAGCACCAAGAGCTGCACCTTGGTGCACACCTACTGTAATGCCACCTCTGGAGACTGCGGATGCTAAGCGTCATCTTCAAGGAACAGCCACAAATAATTACTCTTGAAAACTGGGAAAAATTGGCAAGAGATTTTCAATACTGCAACAAAATATATATCCTCGAAACAAACTGCCAGCACTCACAAAGCCCCAAAGCTTCTCAAACTAAAGGAAACTTGGTTCTATCCATTTGCCACATCATTTCCTCCTGTTTACATCCACAATAAAATACTTGTTCTATCCTGAGTTAAATATTTTTTAACTACTGTGCAAAAAACCTCTGCCCAGTAACTTGCATAGAAAACTTCAGAATGAGAAACTAAGATTGAACAATTAAAAAAAGGAAAATACTAAGAAAAGAAACAGTTTTAAATGTCTTGTAAAATTAGGTAACTATGCAAGAGTTACTGCAAAGTAAGCTGACGTTCCTACTTAGCATGCGCTAGATCGCTGGCAGCTGTTGTCAGGATGCACTGCTTTACTCTGTTGTAATTTAGCAAAAAGCAGTAAACATAAGTGCACGATGGCACTGCAGACTGGGCAACTCTGACAACCACAGCCCACTATACAGCCTACCACCTGTCTTTAGGAGCTTATCTTTGGAGGTGAATGTAAATAAAAGCTATGGGATGAGATTTGTCTACCTCAGAATTATTTTGAAGTCAGGTAGGATGCCACCTCTCAAGATTCTATTAAATCTTATAACAACATCTGTTTAGGTTTAGTTTTTGATTTGATGTGTTGTGTTGGTAGAGATCTCTGAGGCTCCTAAAAAGTTCCCCCTAATTAAAGTTGGCCCCTCACTTCTATAGCAGTCTTTAACTCAGATTGCTCTTTGACAAGAACACCATCTACCAACTCTTCAGCGCCCTAAAAGGGCACAGACAGAAAGCAGATCAGAAACGCAGTGGCCCTACCAGGTCTGATCAAAGCTCACTCCATTTGATATCCTGTTTCTCACAGCAGCAGGAGCCCGTGGAAGACTGGAAGAGCCAGGTCAGCACGCATACGTACAAATCTGTTCTACTGCAGACTTCAGCAACTTGCAGTATAATTTCTAAAGCAAAAAAAGTGTCAAGGCCTACAAAAATAAAAAGGTAGATCTGTTTTTATTTTGAATCCAGGTGAACTTCTAGAATCAACAGTATTCTGCAAGTCACTACTTAAGTTCCAAGCATAACACATGGAAAGACAGTTCATTCATTTGTTCTGCAGATTCAAGTCCTTATTGCAGTCGATGCTCCCAATAATCCTATGGAGATGATAACAAATTACCTAGTTAGCAATACTAAGGAGCTCATCATCTTACACACTTCACACTCCTACCTCATCTTTTCAGTCTGAGACCTGCAGCCCAAAATCGGAGTCATTCCATGACTGGTTATGGAATTATAAATAATAAAGCAAAATGGAATTAAAAATAATAAAGCAGGTCCATTACTGCTTGTCTGCATGGTCCACAATTCTCCTGCGTCCTTCCAGAAGGACAGGTGCAAAGAAAGCGCCGCGCCCAGCATTTGAACCATGGCTGCGCCACAGCACGTCCTTGTGAAAAAAGGGAAGTCCCTCCTCTTATTTCCCCATGGACTTTTAACAGCCTCTCTGGGTAGGCGGTCACTGCAAAGTGCTTTGTTTATGCAACAGTCTGACAAACCCCAAAACAGCCCACTTGAAGCCCCGACCACATCCCATACCCCTTCCCCTTCAAACACCCTTTCAAACTGCTTTTGATAAGCCATGCTTTTGTTGGAAAACAGGGAAGGAACTGAAAATAAAAACAGCACTGCAGGCTGTTACAATGGGAAAGATTAACACAGTGGAAGGGCGACACAGGAGTGTAACAACAAAGGGATGAGCACAGATAGGATGGTATTTCAAAGGGAAAGCAGAAGTGCTCATCCATCTCCAAAGATCGAGGCTCACAGGAAGGACTCCACCAAGGAGGGATCTCCAACCAGAGCTCCTTCCCCAGTGGCAGTCAGCCCTTCAATGAGGTCTAAGAGCCGCAGCCAGGCTCCGTCCCTTCTGGCCCCACAGCTGAACTGCTTCACCTGTGCTCCCAGGGCTGACTGGGTTCTTTCCCCAGCTGCTCAATCAGTGCTTCAGGACGTGACTCAACAGTTCCCATAAACAGGTATACATCTCAGCAGCCTATAGGCAATAACTTAATCATCATTAATAACAATGTCTCATTAATAATAATCACAGGCTCACTCTGACAGAGGAGACTGATTCCACTCCTTCCACTGCTCTACAGACAGCATGCCTGGGACCCAGCATGCCACGAGGCCATCTGTACATCTGAAAACCAGTGGCATTACTTTCCTCTACAAATGAGAAGCCTTCAAACAGAATAGTTGAGCTTACGTGACACAAGGCAGTGTGAGCAGACAGCTCTGGGAGAACCAAGATGGAGCTGGAAAGACGTGGAGCATGGCCTCCTGCACTAAGCCATCCTTAAGTGCAGGACCATCAGGTTACTGATCATCTCAAGCTTCTGCTCCTCAGAACAGAGGAGCTCCCGAACTCTTATCATACAAAGCAATACCAATCTCATGCTGACCAAGAAGTATGTTTCACTCCGCCTCAAAAAAGCTGAAGTGATCCGAGAGAAGATAGCCTAGATTTTGACAATTCTCCAGGCTAAAGCTAGCTGACCTGCACCTGGAAGAGCCACATTACCCTCAGAAACTTTAATGGCAGCTCTGACACCACTGACTGTATCAGGTGACACATCACAACGGTGTTGACACAGATCTAGAGAGTAAATAATTACAAAATTGGGAGAAAACAAGCCAACAGGGACTGCTAGGGATGACACCACTACTCCATTCAAAAATACAGCCACACACACAGTGCAGACATCTGAATGAAGGTGGCAGGGATGCCCTAAACAGCCATGTTCATGTCCTGCCTGCTCATCTCTGCTAGCATTCTGACATCACCTACAGATGTCCCTTGGTCACTGAAGACCTACAGCTTGCAGCAATCAGGAAAGCTAATCACTGTAAATGCACACCTCGTGAGACAACAAACCAAGCTTCGTGCAGGTATCAAAAGTTAACAAAACTCAAGATTCACATTTCCCACTCCAGACCCCAAGAACTCCTGCAGCATGCTGAGGACGGCACACTTCAGTACTCAGAAAGGTGACCCACGAAGCCATCAACAAAATCCTGTACAATCTCATGTTCCTCTGGATGCCCCCATCCATTAATTTAGTATCAAATCCACAATGCGTTGCTTTGCAGGCAGTAAGACACGAGACTGCATACAATTAGCCTTGGTAGAAAAAATCCATAACAGAAAAGCAATCAGAAGAGCTTGAATGGAGGCAACAAGGTTGCATGGATATTCCTCCAGGATGTGAGACATCCAATTCACACAAGATAGCAACTACCTCACCAGATACACACCTGACCGGCACGCATTTGCAGATGCACAGCTAAGAAAAAAAAAAACAACCAACTTCTACTAAATGAAGAAGACTCCAGTGATTCCCCTTTTCTCGCTTCTTTCAAGAAACACACCTAAGCATCCTCCCCCCTGTAACCAAATCAACACAGAACAACAGGAAACAAACATTTTCCCGCATTCACACTGCCAAGCACTCCATAACTCGAAACTATACCCACTGAGAACAACGACAAGCAACAACAGCAAGACAGGCACAAGGTCTCATGGACTCCATGGATATGCAGTCAGCACTTTTATTAAGCTGCAGTATGACAAAAGGCACAAAGATTTATTGACAAATACTTCGGATTCCCCCGATAGCGTGAACAAAGGATGGACAACCTGCAGCACGACTGTGCCACGGCCCGTCAAGGCAGCAAAACCTTACGGTGCCAGAATTGTACTGGGATTTGACATGCAAGCATTCAGACTTCGCTGAAGGAAGGAACTGAGGCCATGGATCAGTTGTGTTTACTGACAAGCGCTAGTGAAGAACCATACAATCAAAATACAAATAGGATTAAGAATTCAGAACTGTAAGACATACTAAGCAATGTGCTATAAAATCTGTCTCAATATCAGGAAGGATCTTGAAATTAACACTATGAACCATTTAAAATATTCAGAAAATCAGTCTCAGGTAACCATGAAGCTATTGCATAGCAAAGTGCCACTAACAGTAAAGTTGGACAGAACTCCGCATTTCAGAGATGTTTCACTGCACAAGACAACGAACACAGAGGACATCCATACCATCTAGGAATAGCACACCTGAAATTTAACTTTATCTGGCTTAGAACATCTTTCAAAGTAGCAAGCCTTGTTTTCCAGGGTTAATTAACACTTTTCCTTCCATACAGAACATACATATGTTCTTGCTCCTTCCACGCCAACACAAATAGCAGTGCAAATTATAAAAGCAATCGCCTCTGTAGCAATCGCACAGGTCAACACGACAGGAAAAGGTGTTTCACCAGAGGTGTAATGACAGTAGGATCGGCACAATAGAGAGGTGCTATGAAGGAAAGAAGATTGCTCACCATTATCAGAAGATTCCAGGTTTGCAAAGGAGAGCTTCACCAAGGAGGCATCTCCAACCAGAGCCCCTTCCCCAGTGGCAGTCAGCCCTTCAATGAGGTCTAAGAGCTGCAGCCAGCCTCCACCCCTTCTGGCCCCACAGCTGAACTGCTTCACCTGTGCTCCCAGGGCTGACCGGGTCCTTTCCCCAGCTGCTCAATCAGTGCTTCAGGCTGTGACTCAATTACCATACAATGACTAATGGGATGTTTACTAACAAAAAAATGAACTGCGCCT